GTGTGTTTACTTGTTTAACTTTACTACTAAACTCTACTTTTCAGTTGAGTGAAGTTGGACAAATAAGGCTGTATATTAATATATGGGAATAAAATCTGGGTTAGTCTCTTAGAACATAGCTATCAAGACTGATAGTTAAAAAGTAAACATAAGTATTTATATATGTATATGGAATGGAATCACACTTCACAAAGTAAAAGTAGTGGTTGGAAGTGCTGATAGCAACAATAAATGTGTTTACAGTTTTCTACAGTGCTCATAAAAGGTCTATAAGAGCACATGTCAAGGACCTAGTGAAGGGAGCTTATTTTTGGCATTCAGAAGACAATTCTTTCAAGTCTGACCTAGTAACTTCTTCACTTAATGTGAATTCTCCATGTTTATATAACAGCATTAGCCAGGAGTACTGTTTCCTGTCTCCGGTTACCTAGGTGGGGTATTTTTTGTTAGTTTTTTGTTCTGTGATGCTTTCCTTAGGCTCTTGTGATAATTGGTTTGTGTGATTGTGATCTCAGTGTGAGACGCAGGGAAAGTGTAGGGGAAAAAAGCTCTTCATAGGGATGCTGAAGATTTTTTTTGTGGGTGAATGTTTTAGGAGCGGCCAGCTTTTTCTTTGATGGAGGGATCCAAATTCTGGTTCAGACTGGGTCAGTTTGATGGTTGGTAGAATGTGAGGCATAAGTGCAATTTTTTCCAGAGTCCTCTATCCTTTACAAAAGCTTTTATTGGAAGAATAGGAAAATATTGCCAGTATTAGTGATTTGAATCCTGTGTAGGTTCCTCCCATACATGGGGTTTCACTTGCATCTAAAAGTTAGCTATCTAAAGCTGTTAGATATTTACTTTTTTGGTTGCAGTTATATCTGAGCACTTCTGAAGCATGTAAAAAGAGAGAATGTTTTCCCCATCACAGAAGTACTAGTTTCATTTGTTCACAGTATTAGATATTTTGCACATCAGCCTGGGAAGAAATTCATGAAAATAAAATAAAAATAAACCTATTTTGAATAATTTTTAATTCCCCCCGCCCAAAAAATTATCGTAATAGCTAGTAACATTTAGGAGTTAAGTTTTATTTTCTTTAAGACTTTAGTGATAGTCGTTTATTTCATTGTCGGTTCTACCACTGGCCTGTTTCTGAATGAAACCAAAGGTTTTATATTTGCCACTATGTCTTCCTAAACTGATATAGAACAATGGTTATTACTAATCTGTTAAATGCACTAAGCACAAGCTATTTAAAACACTGTTAAAAATAACCCCCTGAACTTTAGCTTGTAGCTGATATGGGTCACAAGCAGTACATAATACATTCTGCTTGAAACCTTACTTAAGGACCTATCTTTCCTAATCTAAGCTTTCCTGTTTAACCTAAACTGGAGTTTTTGTGGCTATAGGCTGTGGTGCCTTACATGGAATACAGTGCACTAAATTGCCCTTAAGGTCAAATATATAAATATGTTATGTTAAACGTATATTCATATATGTATATAAGCGTGTATGCATATGTGTGCATATCTATACTTATAAAATACTTGCTAAGTATATAAGTATTGATAAAGTCCACATCCATCTTCCTTGTTAATGATAATAATATAAATGCATGTGTTAAGTGCGTGGATACCACAATAAAGTGAACTAGATTTCTATAGAATTTCTTACAGTTGATATCAAATAGGTATTTGGAACCAATTTCATTTTCAGTGCAAAACCTATTCTGCTTCTTGCTTGAGTTCTGACCTTTACTAACAGTAGGGAGATAGATCTCCAAGGAAAAAAAAACACATAAACTATGCTGAGAACAACATTTGAAAGTTTTTAATTTTTCATAAGAAAATAAATATATTCTGTTTTAAACATTTGAATATTAGATAAATATTATAAGAAAGGTAACGATTTATGTCAAATAGCTTAGATTTTTCTCAGCACTTAATCTTCCATGACAGTTTGGCAGTGTTTTCCAGAAGTCAACGTATGGTGTGTTCTGGAGAGCATCCTATTGTTAGTGGATTATTCCTCCTTTTAATAACTTGCTTCTGTTCAGGCCTTGTGAATTGGTACAGAAACAGAACTTTTGTTTTTCATGCTAATGTATAATGTTGAAATGTGGAATGGACGTTTTTCAGTTCATGCTGTAGGTAGTTTTAAATTTGTGCATGGGAGATAGAGCTAAAAAGAAATTTTAAATGAAGAGTGGGGAAGTTAAGATTTTATTTAATACATTGTTTCTTGTTCATGATTTTTAACTGAGTCAGTCATATTAAAAGTGCATTTATTTTGGACTTTTTTCAAAGTACTGTGAACCTCAAAGCTTGGCAGACTTTGCCTCTTTAGTGTTAATGAGATTTTTTCAGACAGAAAAAAAGGAGAGTAAAATTTGAAAATACTGCACAGATCGGTTATTTTTGCCATATTATCAACTCTTGGTTATGTTTGATCTATTCGCATACCTGTGACTTCAGATTTTTGAGCTGAAGACATGACTGTGAAGTCTAGGCATATTTTATATCCGTTGCCCCAGTTAGTTTTAGATTTGCATTGTATCTTGTGAAGAGAGCTTTATTCACACTGCAGCTAGCATCTTAAATAGAGGCTGCTTTTAGAGCTGACCTGACTTTGCAGATGCGTACGACTAGTTCTTCAGAGCAATAAATTCTGCTGGACTTTAAATAAAAAAATTAAAATATTGGGGTAAGATGCAGATTTCATATTGCTGTCCAATAGCAAGGAGTATGTCATCTTTATGTTCATAAACTTGCAAGTAGGAGACTGGTTTAAAATGGAATTATACTTTTTCCCCATGGTTGTGTTATTTAGTAGATCTCTCCTTGGTTTTAGACTTGCAGATGGTTTGAACTGGTTGGCTTTGGAATTTTTAACTGTTTTTAGCGATGTATTTGAGAGGTGGAGTTTCTCACCTGTACTTAGTGTTAATGAGTGTCTCAGGCTTTTGTGCTGTATTGTCATGGAGGTCCTCACAGAGACAAGTTGTGAGGTAATCGCAGAGTTGTACAATTATTTTCTAAACCAATAAAAGGGATTTTTTGCTTTCATATTTGCAGTTCCAACAGTAAGTGTAGGTTGAAGCTGAGTGCAAAAAAAGCATGCTCCTAAAACCTCTTATTGACGTATTATGTCAGAAAAGGCTTTGAAAGAAGACTTTTGTTCAAATTGATTTGGAGAAAGAATATAATCCCCATGAGCAGACCTATAATTAGATGGCAGATTAGCCTGTAGCTGTTGAGGTCAGTGACAAATTTATTATCTTTAAATAGTAAATAATATTCCCAGCATGTGCAAGATGGCAAATACTGCTGAGCAGAGTACGCAGAGGGCGACAGGAAGAGAGGTGCCCAGAAAGCAGACTTTCGCTCCATTGCCAATACTGTTCATGATTGCTTCCTCTTGACCAGATTTTTTTTTTGGTCAGTTCTGTTACAAAGGGCAACAGACTTGAGGAAAAATACAAGAGACAATAAATAATTGGAAAATGTGTTTATTTCACTGTTTACCTATCTTCTTTATAAATGTTACAAGAGATCGATTTTCACTGAATATGGACACAATATTAAACACCAGTAGCTGTTTATTTACAAATACAACCTTGAAATTTTGAAATATAGAGTTTACTACACTTCTTGTTACCTTCTATCTTCGAACTGTCTAGAATAATTGAACTCAACTGCAGAGAGGACTGCGTAATTACTCTGAGCAGACTTAGTGTCCAGTTTTAAAAATAGGAGAAATCCTGTAGTGATCAATGCATAGCTACAGCTGGTTGAAGGGGACCAAATCCATTGAAGAGGTGATTTGGTTCCATTTTACCAGCTTTAGCAAAGCATTGGAGTGCAGGAAGGTTATAATTCAGTAACACATTTTTAAGTACATGAACAGTTCACAAAGAACATGTGGCTTTCTTCTGTGTTACTTGTTTTGTTTCTAGTCAATGCGAATTTAAATTCCTTCACTAATTTGGAGATGACAAAATGGAAAGCTGTGTACCAGAAAGGCCTGTACAGTGTCCAGGTTTGTTCCTTCCTTGAGTATTTCCTTGAGGCTCTTTGAATGCGTCTCAAATCAAATTAGAGTTACAGTTTTAACTTTCTTCTAGCTGCAATAATGAAATTCTAGACTAGTGACCAGAAACTGTAGTCTTACAATTTCTACTCGCGTAGAGCTCCCTTGCCTCTTTATGTTAAACTTTACTGGGGAGGAAGGTTTCGTTTTCCCCCCTCCCTGCCCCCTGCCGTGTGTGTTGTGTCGTCCGTCCGTCCCCGTCCCCCCCCCATTTTCTGGCAGGTTCCCTTTTGCAGAAACTGTAGTCTTACGATTTCTACTCGCGTAGAGCTCCCTTGCCTCTTTATGTTAAACTTTACTGGGGAAGAAGGTTTCGTTTTCCTCCCTCCCCGTCCCCTGCTGCCCCCC